AAAGGATGACAAACACACCCTAAATCAAGAAAAATTATTGTCCACCAAACTGAGTAAACTCATTAGTCAAACTCAACTATAATCAATATTCCAGAAAGGTCTAAAACAGTAAAACCAATACCTTTTTTTCTTCAATCTCATCGGAGACGTGCGGGTCGCCGGAATTCGCCAAAAATCCCTGATCTTCACTGGCTGGGAATATAGAAAGAGGGTTTTTTCTCACTTTTTTTTTTTGTGCTGAAGAGGAGAGGAAATGGGTGCCCTTGATAGAAAGAGGGCTTTTTTTTTTGCTCAAGAGGAGAGGAGATGGGTCTCAAATCGGGTTCCCCTCCAAGTTAACAATTATGGGTGATGTTAAATTATGTTTCCCTCCCAAACAAAAAAAAAACCATTGACATCTCATTAATTTTGAAACCTTGTTTTCTAGTCTGTTTTTGTGCCTGGCCGAGTAGCATAATTCACAACGAATTACGAAAGTGGGGCAGTCCGGGTCTGGATCTCAATGCTAGCCCTGGTGGAGTAGACATTCAAGGTAGAGAAGAGATGTTCCCGGTTCCAGGTGGTATTTCGAAGAGGAAGGAGCCTGAAAGAGGTGGGAGAATGAGAGTTTCAGATACAAGCAATCTTCGTGGCCATAGGATCAGTATACTGGAATCTGGTGCATTTTTCAAGCCTTGTAACTGTTTTTACTTTACACTGGAATAAATGTCGAAGAAACTGACTTCATTCTGTAGACATCGAAATTTTAATTCTTGGTGGCCGGGTTGTAGAGAGATAATGGATGGAGGTTGCCGGGTTGCAGAGATAGAATGGAGGGAGAGAATTAGGGTTCGTGATGTTGGGTGAAATTAAATTGGTGTTTTGGACTGATTTGTATTTTTTTGTTATTTTTAATATTTTCATAAATTTTGGACTGATTTGCCTTTTTAAAAAAGTAATTTATTTTTTATTTTTCTTTTATTTGATTTGTGTTTTATTATATATAGGAGGGTATAATTGTCATTTTATNATTTAAATTGGAGGGTATATCGGTTATTTTACGTTAAAAATTAGGAAAAATGACGTTTTGCGCAAAAAAGGTGAAAGGTATGGACATTCTGCGTCAAGAAACGAAAGGTATGGACGTTTTTCACAAAGACAGGTAAAGGTATGGACGTTTTGCGCCAATTACCCTAATTTATATTAAGATCTTAAATTATATTGCTCTTAATATTGTAACACTTCAAGAGCAACAATATTTTGTAATAGACAGATATAAAAATACTAAATTAATAAGCAAAAAAAATAATAAAACTTGTAATGGAACATCTAACATGCAGTGGAAAAAATATGTATAGGCGGAACTAACGTCATATAATAACACGTAATTGCAATTTATATAATAATTGAATGGTTAATATGTAATTACAGTGAATGGTTAAAGTGCATCTGCAGTGTATAAATTAACTGAATAAAGTCCAAAGACTCCAAACAATCATGAATACAAATAATTAAATCAAACAATCACAGGTGGATCCCACGTATATTTTAAGTCTTAGAGCACGTTTTGAGCCTTTTTTTTTTTTTAATGAAAATGTATTTTAGAATAGTATTTTGATGAAAAATATGTGATTAAAAAATAAGGAAAAGTTTTAAATTTGCATATAATATTATTTTACTAAAAAATGTGTAGTTGAAAATAAAAGAGAGAAATATATTTTAAAACATAATGGGTATCAAATAGGAGCTAAATAACTATACAATCATGTGATGTCGTCAGAAAAATAAGGTGAATAAGAACCAAAAAATAAATAAAATTGATGGCAGAATGAAAAGTGTATGCGGCAATAAAAGAAAAAAAAACTGATTATTGACAAAAATTAGACGAACTTATTAGATACTATTTAGTATGACCAAACGTTGTGTACTTGTGTATAATTTTTTTTTTTAAATGCAATTCCATAGAAGTCGCATAAAGCGAATACAAGGAGGAGAACCTCCAACTCATAGCTCTCCTAAGAGAGATTAAGTGCCTCCTAAGCCGAAGCAACAACTACAATAAATATACAAGACACGAACACAGACTAAGCCACACGAAGTCCAAATACATCTGTGACTTTACGATGCAGGAAAATCCGACATAAAGCCAACTATGCAATCTGCACTTGAGCACCCGCCCTCCCACCCCCCACATAAAGTAGCGAGCATTGTCTAGACTTCACTACAAACATAACAACACAAACAAACTACACAGACTAAACACCAACCAAACAACACGAAAACAAAATAAAACAACAAAAACACCACCAATCAACAACAAACAAAACACCAAACTCCACACCACCAAACACCAACCCAAGCCAACACTGGAAATGCAGCCAAAAAAAGCCCGCCAGCAACGCCCCAACAGCTATAGCACCTCCCTGGCCGGCTCCGACCACTTGAGACCACAGACAAAAACGAGGACCCACCGCCTACCAGAAACCACAACCTCCACATGCGGAGGCCCGCCGTTCAGCCCCAACTGTATCTCGCTCATCCCGCTCACCAACCAAAGCTGTAGCAACCAAGAATTTTAAATTATATAAAAATTATTTTTTCCAAAAAACGTGTCACTAAATTTTAAACCTTAACATTAAAGTGCAAACGTGTTCGTCTTGCTATTATAAAACCAATTTAAATTATCCGAGTCAAGTTCAATTCCGAATATCGATTCCTCATCATTATTAAATCCCAATCTTAATAGTTTTAGTACAATATGTTATTATCTAAAGTCCAAAATTCTTTTAGCCCAAGTCTTGATTATTTTTAATCCAATTCACTTAGGCCCAACTAGGGCAACCCTCACAGCCCAACTTTTTGGCCCAA